ATCACAAGAAAGGAAGAAATCCTAAGGTGAAGGAAAGAGTCTGTGTCATTTAGACCATCCATGGAGGTCCTTGAGGAAGTAACAGTCTATCTTTCAAGTGCTCTTGAAATTAAATCATGATGAGGACAGTGTTAAATAAAACTTATGAGCTATGCTTTGGGATTCAGCTCCTGAAGTGCGGTCTCAATGGACTAGGTTAAAAGTCCAAATGGAGTCACTCAGGCTCATATTCTGCATCTCAAAACTGAAATAGTTCACCTGACATCTCAGGAAATCAGAACGAGAGAGATAACAGCTAAATTTTCCAAACAAGACAGGTTCAATTGGCATGATAATAAAGTTTTCTCTGCCTTAATTCTTTCACAAAAATGATCATCTAAAAGCTGATTTTAGCCGTTAATTTTTTTTTTGCTTCTCCATCCTCACCCTATAAGGAAACAACTTTGAGATGACCAATCTGAAAGTGTTTTTTATTTTATTTTGTCTGTTTCTGTTTTCTTCTGTCTATAAAACCAAATTCCTCTGCTTGGAACACTTATTCTATTTTATGAAGTAAAGTGTTGCTTGATACTTGAATCAAAAACAAAGCCAAATAAGAGCATCATACTGGCTGTGCTTAGCATGTACAAAGCCTTGGGTTTAATGCCCAGCACCAAAACAACAACAACTCAAATCAAAAACCAAACGAAACGAAATGAAAAAGAGCATCGCACTAAATTCTTGTGATCTTAGGCTTTGATAAATTGCACTGGCTAAGTCAGACCTAGATATATTTATACCAGTGATTGTAAAAAGACAGACTATCCACAGGCAGACTCAGCTAGCACCATCAAAGATCTACTGTGGGGCTGTGTGATAAGTGATCAAGAGCTCTTTCTTAATTACATACTAAAATACCTGGGTTATGCAGCAAGATAGTATGTAGCTGTTCTGAGATACCTCTCATAGCATCTGACCACTCCCTCAGTGACTGTAGGATGTCTACCTTTTAAAGACTAAGATAGAGTCCTCCTTGCAAGCTCCTTCACAATGAGGTTGAACAAATGGCTGCCAAATTCACATTAAGATGTACCTACAGGACTAGTGTGCAAAAAGGGAGTTTCAGTGAATATCAGCACATTTGGGCATATGAGGAATAACACACTTTTTCTCTATTGGTTTTGGAGGCAGTGCTATAGTAAATAAATAAATAAAAATAAATAAATAAAATAAATAAATAAAACTAATGTTTCACTTGGGGAGATTTGAAGGACTCTGTTTTCTACTTCTATAATGATCAGATGAGAAATGGCAGGAAAACACATATTCTCAAATCACAAGGTGTAAAGATAAGGTAGGTGAGGTCCAAGATAAAATATACATTCTAAGATGGATGAAAAAACACAAACCAACCCACATGGCTGATAGGAAGGAAAAAAATCAGATACAGAATAATGTTAGCAGAAAACTTAAGGATTATTTAAATCACATGAAAAGAGATATAAACTATAATATTATAACTATATTATATGTAATATATTATAACTATATAATATCATTATAATATATAATATACAATGCATTTTACATTGTGTAAGTACTACAAAGATACATACTTTCTAATAAGTTTTATACATCACTGAATAGTTTTATTTCCTGATTTTCATTTTAAAAAGGAGATCAGATACAAGGAGTTTACCAGAGAGAATTTTCTGTAGGACTCTCAGATTCTAATAAACAAAAATGCCAGAGGACACTTGGGCTTGGGCTGCTCTGAGGCTGACCCAGTGAGTCCTTTGGGCTTATCTCTAGTGCTAGTTTGTTCAGATTCTTACAGAGTAGAAACATGACCAATCAGGGACAGCCCCCTCTGTCTCAGGGCTGGGGATATGGAAAGTTAGATGGATTTCAGTGTAGCATGTGTATGTCCTGATACTTGTTAGAAATCTGAGCTGGGCCACAGACAGGCACCAAAGATGGGTATGAGTTCTGGCAGTCATGACCTTGGAACTGCTACTGAAATATTCTTTCTGCTCTTGTAAAAGGTACAGTTGCAAAGGTGAATGTTTCCTAGGCCCTCATTTCTTTGTGTGTGTGTGTGTGTGTGTGTGTGTGTGTGTGCACGTGTGTGTGTGTGTGTGCATGCGTGTGTGCGTGTACTCACACATGCATGTGTGAACTCAAACTGGAACTTGAACTCAGAGCCTTGTGCTTTTGTTTGATTTTTTTTTCCACTCAAAGCTAGTGTTTTACCACATCAATGACACCTGTACTTCCAACTTTTCAGTGGCTAAGTAGAGTCCAGACTTTCCACTCTGGTCTGTCTTTGAACTATGATTCTCTTGAGTAGCTAGAATTATAGGTATGAGCCACTAAAGTCTCATTTACTAATTTATTAATTCACAGCCATAAAGCTCTTTTGTATTGAATAAAATGTGAAAACAGGTAAGTTTCCAATTCTACAAATGTCTACAAACCTTTAAATCATTGCTACACTTTCATGATTTCAGGTGGGTGGGTGAGAACAGATTCTAATTGCATAAGCTCTTACAAAAGAGTCACTTTGCCCTGTCATGCTGGGGATCTCTCCTAGGGCTTGAGAGTCTTCCTGGAGTGTTCAGCTGATTTGGCCTTTAGAAGTTACAGTGGACATGCCCTCTGACTTCTGAGATTGCTAAAGGATGCGTAGAAGGAATTGCTGCTGAAGGCATGGTTTTCATGTGGTTTTGGCCCCTAGCACACAGGCTTATAGCCAGAGATGAGGTGAGATGAGGTGAATGCCAACAGTTTATGTTAGCAGATCCAGAAAGTGTGTCCTGTAGATTCTTGGGCCAGTATTTTACTATTTCTTTCCCTCCTTCCTTCTCTTCCTTTCTACCATATCTCCCTTCCCTCCATCCTCCCTTCCTCCCTTCCTCCTTTCTTGTTTCCTTTCTCCCCGCCCCTTTCTTTTTTGTGCTGGTATTAGGGGTTGAACTCAGGGCCTACGCATTCTGCCCATTAACTTTTTTTTGCTCAAGGATGGTGCCTTACCCCTTGAGCCATGGCTCCACCTCTGACTTTTTAATGGTTAATTGGAGACAAGTCTCTTGTAATTTTCCTGCATAGGCTTCTTTAAACTGTGATCCTTAGATCTCAGCCTCCTGAATAGCTAGGATTAGAGGGGTGAGGCATCAGTTTACTATTTCGTTCTGCATCCAGAACCTCTGTGTGGCCATATGCAAAGTCTGGATGTGTATGTCCTTGTGGGAGCAGGGGTAGGGTGAGTAGAGATGTTCTAAGATTTGTAGAAAGTAGCCCAACACTGTTAGTGTGACCAACATGAAGATTTGGCCTTCCTGATAAATTTCCACATTCTACGCTTGGGTGAATGGAAAGGCTTCATCTCCAAGGAGAGACAGGCAGGATACACAGGGGAACCTGTGATCTGCTCAAGGCCACTATGTGATTCACCGGCAAAACAAGATGAAATCATCCAGATTCCAGCTCAGGGACCCAGATGGATCTGGGCATTTTTGAGCCAATGACAGAACTCCTTTACTTGCTTCATTCTGTCCCACTCAGCTCTGATACTTCTTGCTGCCTCTTAAGCAGCTTAGCCCCTTGGAGCAAAAGGGACCTTGTCTGGGACAAAGTTCGTATTCACCAGGACCCCTGCTTCCCTAGGGCAGTCTTGTTATCTTCCCTTGTGGTAGCACATGACTTTCAGATATGATAACATGAACTCTCTATTACTTTGGGGAAGACTCCTAAGCAAAAAAAAAAAAAAAAAAGTGCTGGTTAGAATAGCTCTGTTGATGATAACTTTGTGGTATTATCTTGGAAGTGGATGGAAAATAATCCAGAGCCAAGATTGTCTTGGATAGCTAAAGTGAAGATCCACCTACACATAAAGAAAATCATTAAAGACCCAATGACCGCCAAGAGGGCACTCCTTAGCAGCCCTTATCTTTTTTGTTTTCTGTCCTGGTAGCTCTCTAATCCTGCAGGTTTCATTATTAGGATTTCCAGCTATACTTTTAGTTTTCAGTTACAGATTGACTGGGGACCCTAAGTCTATTGATGTTTACTGGGAGATTATCCTTATAAGAACTGCTAATGTGAGGATTCAGGTTTTAAAGGTAATGAAGAATGGTAATTCCAATAACTTTGTGACATTACCAGTGACAGTCTGCCTACCAAGCAGAAAGATGGACTCATTTCAAACAAGTCATCTTATTTAAAAAAAAATTACAGGCTGGATGCTGGTGGCTCACACCTGTGATCCTCAGGAGGCTGAGATCAGAGGATCACAGTTTGAAAGCCAGTTTAGGAAGAAATGTCCCAGAGATTTTTATCTCTAATTAACCAGCAAAAAGCTGGAAGTATAGCTGTGGTTCGTGTGTGGTAGAGTGCCGACCTTGAGTCAAAAAGCATCCAGGCTCTTAATAAGTTAATCAAACAAAGGAAAAATCAAAACAACAGCAACAACCCAAATACACAACTCTAAACAACAACCTATGGGTGAATTTATGAAGTTAAAATGTGCAGACTGGCCAAGTCAGTGAACTGATCATTGATGAACAGTTCAGAGACTCATGTTTTCTTTTCTGGATAGTGAATGAACTCTTTTTTTTTAAGGGCTCATAATTTATGGTCTAAAATTGGACCAGGGACAAATTCAAAGCAGAGTGAAAGGAAGTCTCTGAAACAATAGCACTGAAATTCTCCCAGGGCTTTTTCAATTGTGAGAATTTAGTGCACCTGAGTTGCTAGACTTGCTATAGTGGCAATCTGCCTAAAGTGTGTATTTTTTATTCTACATCTAAGGAGTGGTCTCCTTTGGTAGAATGAACATGGGTAGGGATTTACTTTTTGTTGTTGTTGTTGAACATAGTACACAGTTTTTCTGGGGATTAAGACACACTCAGGTAAGGAAGCTCTACGTATAAATGGAAACAAGAATCCATATTCCAGTCCTTCTCACAAAGTTTTTACTGTGAACATTTACTATGTACCAGGCACAGTGTTCTATGCCTTACTCTCATAAATTCATTGGCCTTCAAAGGCATGTTTTGGAGGTAGGTGATATTATTGTGCCCATCTGCGGGTAACAGGATCAGGAGTTGAAGGTTAAGGTTTGAATTGTCTCACCTATGGGCATACTGTGTGTGTGTGTGTGTGTGTGTGTGTGTGTGTGTGTGTGTGTGCACCAGTATTAAGGCTTGAACTTAGAGTCTGAATTCTGTTCCTGAGCTTTTTGCTTAAGGCTGGTACTCTATCACTTGGGCCACACTTTCTGTTTACTTCTGGCTTTTTGGTGGACAACTGGAGATAAGAGTTTCACAGACTTTCCTGCCTGGACTGTCTTTGAACCATGATCCTCAGTTGTCAGGCTCCTGAGTGGCTAAGATTAGTGGTGTAAACTACCAGTGCCTAGTATTGTCATCGTACTCTCAACCATTGGGTACTACTGCCTCCTAAGGAAGCTGCCTAGAGTCCACAGCATTTGGTATTCATGACTGAGTAGGTAGAGGTTTTTAGTCTAAAGCAGCTGAATATACTTAGTTTCAAAGATGGCTGAATAATGAAGTGATAAATTAGGTCTTGTTATAGTCTTGCTCCATGGCTGACATTCTCAATTCTCGCAATCTGTTTCTGAAAATGATTTTCCTGCATGTATGCAAACAATTTGTTTTTCTTCCTAGCCTCTACAGTTCATTTTTAACCACTTTCTAAACATCACTACTGAATTCAGCTCATCATGTACCTAAAGTATCTCCCTGAAATTTCCAGCATCACCCCAAACCAGCACCTTACTCTAGCTCCCCCTCTCTGTAATGGTATCATTTGCTGTCCTGGATTGTAAAGCTCAGGGTCAGTTTTTACTTCCATCTCTCTTGTACCCCAGTTTCCTTCTGAAACACATAGCAATGAGTAATTCTCCTGGCAGTTTCTCTGCCCCTTCTGCTGGCAACAAAGCAAATTTCTAAAACCCAATTTGGGATTAAATTTTCACAGATCTCTCTGCCTAGACTAGCTTTGAACCTTTAGACTCTTCACTGTGAAAATGCCACCATGTTAAAGATGAGATTCAACCATTGGCAGCCCACCTCCTCCACTCTCCTGCCTCTTGACTGTGTGCTGGTAATTGTTCTAAGTTGGAGACACAGCCCTGAGTAAAACAGAAAAGACTCCTGTCCTAAGGAAGTACTAGTGTCTATAATGACTCTATAACTTCCCTACTTAAAGGAAACAAAATAGTAAGGTAGTATTCAAGATCTATTTCCTGATAAAGAAAAAAATTTTTTAAATTTTGATTTGGAAATTGAGATTCTCCATAATTTGGCTTAACTTTCCCTTTTCTATCATTCTTCATCAGCATGTGCTCTGCTTTGTACCCCATATCATCATCATCTAGATTTCTCAATGTAAAATCATTTCTCCCACAGCTCTGCCTGGCTCTTGCTTGGGTTAGTCCGTCTTTACTCTTGCTTATTCTGTTATTTCTGTTTTCAGCCACTAGAATTTTCTGTCTCTGCAGATGGGACAGGTGGTGGGACACATATACCCCTTTCTACCTCCCTGCTCCTATCAGATTCTGCCCTGCCTACGGGCAGGAGACAGTGTTCATAGCCTAGTGCTTTGGTTGGTAGAAAGTCCCTTTCAGCCTCTTCACTCCTGCTGGGTTTCTGCTTTGCTTCTTAGACCTCGCAACTGGGCCTACATCACAACTTTGTTTTCTGAGTCCTCTTGGTGACCTTCATGTATGTTTTTTAAAAAATATTTTTTTGTGCCACTAGTGGGGCTTGAACTCAGGAACTCATGCTTACTTGGCTTTGTTTTGCTTTTTGCTCATGGACTGGCACTCTAATATTTGAGCCATGCTTCCAAGTTTTGGCTTTTTGGCTAACGGGAAACAAATCACAGATCTCTCTGCCAGAACCTCAGCCCTCAGATCTAAGCTTCCTAAGTAGCTAGGATTAAAGGAGTGAGACATAGGTAGCTGGCTTACCTGATGTATCTTACTCAGCATATTTTTAAATGGAAAATTAGCTTTTGTATTTTACTAATGCCAAGCAATTTACGTCAATTAAAACCTATCTGATTAAGCAAGATGTTACTTTCATAGTTGTTTTCGACTACAGTGAATACATCTCTTGGTAAAAAGGTATAGCCTTTGAGGTTTAGAATAGCCTCACTTCAATATTACATATATAAAACTCCAGTTGTTTATGTAATCATACATAATGTTGAAAGATATATGATCTAGACTAAAATAAATTGGAAGAAAAATATACTATCAAAATAAAATTAAATGGAAATACTAAGATTTGTATTTAGATAATCAATTTGCTACTCTCCATAGAGTTATATTTCCTTTAAGCTTCCATTTGAGGCAAAGTATAACCACGTGAATAATAACAGACATATGAACTGAAAATGAGATGTAAGTCAAAATTACATTGAAAAGAGACCAAAAGGATGGTCAAGTGTCAGGTTCACAAAGTTCAGTAGCATCTAATTTGAATACACACTTCTTTCTGGCAATGGGAAATAAGGGGAGGACATTGGAACCCCCTTGTTGGAAAACAATCTGTAGCAGGTCCATTTATATTTCCCAGAGGAGGTGGAGGGCAATAAAGCCCTTTCCTCACGAATTGTTTCTTTGGATCAATTGGGAACAGTGGATCTGGAAATCCACTTTTCATGAAACCGAGTGAAGAAAATCCATTGGTGAACAAACATTTCTTACTGGAAAAGGTGGAGGAGGGGGGCATCCATGCCCCTAAGTGGACAATGTTCTGGAGAAGGTCCTTTCATGTATCCTTGACTAGGTGAGGGGACAAAGAGGCCCCTTTCTCATCAACTTTCTCTTGGGATCTGTTGAGAAGAGCAGATCTGGGAATCCAGCTCTTGGCAGATCTGAATGACGAGAATCCATTGGTAGGTACAAAGCCACTTCTCACTGAGTGAAGGACGTGGCCATTCCTAAAACTCCCTTAGTGGGAAATAATCTGGGGAATGTCCACATATGTTTCTTAGGTGGGGCAAGGAGACGCCCATCCTATGCACTTTATTCCTTCAGTACATTGGGAACAATGACCTCAGATAAGAGGATCAAAAGTAGAGGTACTGCTCTGCTTTCAACAGGTAGCAATAAATCAGACACATTAGAATTAACAAGGCCACCTTTGGTATCTTTTTTATTTGATTCTATTTGTGATGACACTGTCACATGCACTTTATCCAAAGAAGGCATATGCAAACTTCTGAGTTCTTCTACTTAGCAGAATTAGAATAAGGTCTATTTTGACTAGGTTGACCCTATTGCTAACAGACCATTAGGGAAATAAAAGTTCATACTGAAGCTTCATTTCAGCTAATTTTTGTCTCTTACGTGCATTTACTTTTCTAAAATATCTGAGATTTTTTTCAGCAGTTTCAGCTGCCAAGAACGTGGCACAAACTTTTTTCTCAAAGGAAATAACCTGCCTTTGGTAATAATGAATGGTTTTCTTAATTTTTAGTTCAAGCTCTCCAGCTAGCTTTATATAGGTGCTCCGGTCTTCAGATATATACCTTATCCTTTTTTCCACTTTGGACAGTTTCTCCTCTACCTGTAGCCGATCATTTTCCTTAACTATTAATCTCCTGTAAAGGCTTGTTCCTCTCTCTTGATACTTTTCAGCCAGTGTTTTAAATCTCTGCCGAAGCTTTGGATTCTCCCTTTCAAAATGTTCAATTAGGGACTGGAAAGATAACTTTTCAATCTGGAGATACTTAATATGCTCAGTCAGGTTTGCGTTTGTTTTATGTCCTTTAGACAACTGGGTATAAATTTGCTCTCTTTCCCTTTCTAAGGCTTGTAAGGAAGCACTTAAATTAACAGCATATACCAGTTTCTTCAAAGGTCCTTTGTGCTGATCTAAGCAAGCATCACTTTCTGCTTCAGTTTTCAATGTCAAGTCCCCATCATTCGACCTATCCTCCTCTAGTAGAACATCCCAATCTTTCATTTTTTGCAAGCTTTCAGTAAGGGAGCGGATAGCATTTTCTTTATCCATTAGAACTTGCTCTGCATGGCCTTTGGAATTTTCAGCTGCTATTTTCTCTTTAGTAAGTTCACTTACTTGTTGTTTCCATACTTCAACTTCTTGTGCAAGCTGTTTCAGACTTTCCTCAAGTTGGGAATTTTTGTTCAAAGTATCTGTGACCGAGTCCTTAAGTTGTGTACGGTTGATTTGAAGCATGTGGAAGGTGGTTTGGGCCTCAACTACTTGGGAGTTGAGGAATTTTGAAACGTCTTCTAGACCCTGTTCTCTTTTCAAAAGCTCTGTCAGCAAGGTATCTTGTTCAGAATGTTTACATTTCTCTTCTTCTAGAGTCTTTTCTAGAAAGAGTATTTCCTCCTCAACTTTAGATTTGGATCTAGTCAGCAATTCACAGGTTGCTGCCAAACTCTGTACCTCTGTTGAGTCTTTGTCAAAACTGGCATCCTTGAAGGATAACTCTAAGCCTTCATGTTCTTCTTGAACACGGCTATCTTTGCCAGGTAGTTGACATTTTTCTTCAGTAAGTCTCCAACATTTTAGGGCCGGTTTTTTGTCTCCTTTCAGATAAATCCAACCTCTGACTGATTGAAAGCTTACCCACAAAAGTAACGGAATGGACAAAAGTCCCACAACAGCTGCACATACCAAGAGTCCCCATAGACAACTGAAGGGATGTGGGCCTGACCTGGGCTCTTCAGGTCTCGCTTTCACTATCTTGAAGATTTCTTTCAAGATCAGCCCAAGGTACGGCGGAGGAACCGCTTTAGGCTCCGCCGTGGTGCCAAGACTGCTCTGGCGGTTGCCAGAGTCAGGCTGAGCCTCAGAAGACAACATCAAACATTCCAAGTTCCTTCTAGAACCCCCAACAGGCACCTTGTGACCAGAGCAAAGCGCTGCAGAGACGGTGGGGGGTGGGGGGAGAGTGGGACTGGACCACACCATGGAACTGCATGGGGGAGGTGGGAGGGGAGGGTCAAGGCAGGCTGTGGAGTGACATTATGGAGAGAAGAGTGGGTAATACTGAAGAACTGGCTTCTGGTATGGGGGGTAAAGAGGCCTCAAAAATCCTGTTGCCTACAGGGGCGGAGTCTTGGCACCTTCCCTAAGCTTTAAGTCCTGGGGCAGCACAAGTCTCATCCAGTCCCACACCAACTTGTCAAGCTCTTTCTGGACGCTTCAGTTAGTTTTGTATTTGTCTCATGGAATTTATCTTACATAACACTACCAAAACTGCCCCTGTGCCCCAGGCTTATGCAGGCACCGTCACAGATACAGCTTAAGAAACGTCTGAGCTGTTAAGGTGACATCTCCAGCCATCACTGGAATGTCGATGGGCCAATGTCCCACAGTCACCAAGCCAGAGAATGAGGTGGGACCCCGCTTTCACCAGCTGGGAAACCGAGGCTGACTCAACCCTACCAGGGCCAGGGTGTCCGTGGAGATGGGCAAAGCCCTGGGGACTAGGCCACGACTTCCTGCGTGGGAACTCGGGGATTGTGGTACTCAGAGGAAAGAAGATGCTCTCTTCATAGAGCATAGTCTGCTGAAATAGAAACAGACATCCACGCATCTGCATACGCCCCTCCTGGCCTTTGGTCTGCACTCGGGCAGGCTAGGCTAGGCCAGGCCAAGTAGTGCCTGAGGCCCTCACTACAAAACATTGGATCGTGATTTGGAAGAACACCCTGAACAATCTAGGGAAGATCTGGCTATCGGGCAACCCTTCCCCAGGAAGGAGGTTTGTTAAGAGTTGGAGATTCTGTATCTCAATAATGGAACAACTATGCATTCATTTGCAGTGATATTGTGGTGAGTTATTGCATTTTGAGTTAGTAAGCAGTAATATATTTTTTCCCCACACGTGCACTGCCATCGCAAGCATAGTATGTGGAGAGGATTCTCATCTATGTCTCTGGGTGTTGGGTCAGTACAGCTCTTGTGAATAGCAATAGCTGGGAAAGCAAATTATGCACCTATTCCATGGTTCAGGTATTTTTTTCCCCTAGAGAAACTCTAATGCATGTGCACAGAAAGATTTCATCAAGAACATGGAGGTTTTGCTTACCATGAAACATCTGAGGAAGGAATAAATGGAGGACTATTCGTATATATCATTATATTAAATAGCTACATTAAGCTCAAAAACATAATGGCTAGGGAAAATGAAAATTGTGTAATTATAACAATAAGTGTTAAAAAGTAAAAAGAGTTACAAGTATAATATTTGTAAAATAAATAGGGAAACATGCACTGTATGATTATGAACATGAACATGTAATATTCAAGTTAGGGACATGTGTGGGAAACACCAAATTCAGTGGTTATCTCTATGGTGGAATTCATGGAGGCTCTAAGGAGGGACATTTAGCTGAATGTGGATTTTTTTTCTTACAAAAAAATTAAAGGAAAGAAATAGGGCAAAATATTAAGATGCGACAAAGCTATGTATATGTCACTGTTTATTATTATTCTGTACTTTTTATATATTTGCAATAATTAATAAGAGAAGGAACTTAAACTAGTAAAATAAACTAGTGACTAGTTGGATTTGAACAAAGACAAAATTAAAGCCACTAGTGAAATGGATGAGTTTTGTTGCTTGTTTTCCTGATCTCCTAGGAAATGTATCAGGAAGGGATTTTAAGACTATGTAGCAATAATGAGAATGAGAATGCTAATGAGTAATAATGAAAATAATTAAGAGGCCATGCTCCCCCAAAGCATTGCTTACCCCCCACCACGTCCTAGAAATGTAAAGCTTTATCTTCCCCTTTAGATTTTATCTTATAAATGACCATTTAGGACTTTCATTGTGTATTGTCTTTTACTTTCATTTCAACTTTTCCCATACTTAATCTTCCCAGCAAAACTGAACCCCAACCTTGATCATTTGGCTTTCTGTCTGGAACTATTCCTGCTGTTAACATACTGTTTCCAGACTCAATAAATACTTTTTGAAATCATAATTTTAATGCGTCAGATTGCATTGTATAAATAAACTATACACTTCCTATGAACATAAGTGGAATTTTTGACCTACTGAAGAATTAGATTTTCTGTAGAGAGTAAGATCCCTATTCTTTTCTCCAGATGCAGCTATTCAAGTTTACAGAGCAATACAACAAACAAGCAAACAAATCTCATAGCCAATTCCAAAGTTTATAAAAATACACGCTTTGTACTGTTTTCTGAACAAGGCAGAGATCCCTTCCAGCACAAAGTAAACTATTTCTTTCCAGCTGTCTGGTCACTACCCCTTTTCATCCATGATATACATCTTGCCCCTTCTCTTCTATTTTGATTGACAGTTGTATTTTTCAAAGGCAAAAAAAATCAGATTTTTTTTTAATGTTGAGAGCCAAACACTCATTGGATTCTCAATGATGGCAGGAAAAATTAGAGGATACAGGCAAATTTTTCAGCAATGTGGATGAAAGCAATCTTTATTTTTCTCTAATACTGAGTCCGGCTTTGAGGTTCTCTATTTCCACCAGATATAAAGCCAAGCCTTTGTAGTGTGTTTTCATTTTTTTCCCTCCTTTTTTGTTGTTTTGATGTGAGCTGGCATCTCTCATGAAAAGATAAAGGCATCAATTAACTATACTACCAAACTTCAAGGATAAAAGCCATTGCTGTGAACAGGAGTTAGGCACGCACATGGTATCGAGTAAGGGCCTGGAAACAGACGGCTGCCAAGGAAAACAGATGTCTGTCTCCTTTAAGGAGACCAAATGATGTGTCTATTAGCTATTGCTAATCTCCTGATTGATTTAACAGTGACTATATTGATGGACTAATAGGAGTTGCTGTTCTCATTGCTATCGCCATTGTCCCAATAAACTTAAAAAAGCTCAACTCAACTTAGTAACAAACAACCACAATGAAACAAACAACAAGGATTCATCCTAAAGGAGAAAAGAATGCACCAAATTCAGAAATGCTAAAGAGTCCGACAGGCTTTACTTCTACCCTTGGCTGGAAGGCAAAAGTCCAGATGTGGTGAGGGGAGGAATTCCCCCACATCACAATGAGTAATAACAGCTAACTCACAATCATAGGATGCAGGAGACAATGATGAATTGTATATCGCAAGCCTATAGAAGACAATCGAAATGATCACTTTCTTCCTAGTGGAATCTACTAGCAAAATGGGAACAGAAAGAAAAAAAAAATTCCGCTTGAGGTTTTTGCACACAAGTTTTTCCTGTTTTCCTGACATGGTTATAAATAAGAAAAAGTGCAGATGTTCAAACTCTCTTCTCTGCCTCATGACTGCCCTGTTTCATCCTTTTATTACGTTGCTCTTATTGTGCCTTTTATGTTGTGGTTGGTGGTGTTTTTACATTCCCCTGCACATGCTGTCCATGGGAACTCCCCTATCCTCTCAGGCTTGTTGGGAGAAGAAAAAGAGGAGATTTAGGCACAGACTATGAGACAAAATTAAAGGGAACAGGGTAAAATAGGAGGTTTTAAAATGTGAACAAAACCGGGCACTGGTGGCTCTCTCCTTTAATCCTAGCTACTAAAGAGGCTGAGATTTGAGGATCACTGTTCAGAGCCAGCCTGCACAAAAGCGTCCATGAGACTCTTATCTCTAATTAATCACCAGAAATCTGGAAGGAGGCCTGTGGCTCAAAGTGGTAGAGTGCTAGCCTTGAGCAAAAAGAGATCAGGGACAGCACACAGGCCTTGAATTCAAGCCCCATGGCCAACAACAACAAAGTGAGCAAAATAGGTCTTGAAAAGCCCACTTTCTCTATTTTCGTAGAGGCTACTTCTGTCTTTGTTGATATTCGCACTTAGGAGCCTGCTCCAGAATTAGGTCAATGTGAAGGTTAAACAAATTCTGTAGGACCTGATGGGTCACGAGAGCACAGAATAAGTTCTAAGTCACTCTGGAAGTTCAGGCTCACTTTCTAGAAGCAGAGTCTCATTTAATAAGTAACGGCTAATAGCAATATAAGATAACATCCACACTTTGGCTTGCTTTAGACTAGAGCTTTTACTGTCCTTCCCAAGGATTTAAGAAAAAGACAATATGAGAGGTCAGTTGCCAGAGTAAGAGATTTCCAAGTGATCTGAACTGCTGCAGGCTTTGTTGCATTTTCCCTTTTCGTTTGTTTGGTATCAGTTATTCTTTTTTGTTTATTTTTGGTGCCAGTACTGGGGATTGAACCCAGCACTTGGGCACTATCCCTTAGCTTTCTTGCATAAGGCTGGTGCTCTACCACTTGAGCCATAGCACCACTTCTAGCTTTTTGGTAGTTAAATGGTGACAACAGGTCTCCTGGACTTTCCTGCCTGGCTTAACTTTGAAGTAGGATCCTTAGACCTCAGCCTCAGGAGTAACTAGGATCAGAGGCATGAATCACAGGCACTTGGCTTCCTTTCACTTTTTAATTGAATAGCTTCACTTGCATTCACAGACTTAAGAGATTCACAGCTTCTCCTAACAGACAGGAAAAACGATGTCCAAGCTCCTGGCTTTCCCTTTACTGTTCAAGGCTGTGTGTCTACAAGATACCAAACACCTAGATGTTTCCAGACTTGGATTATTGGTCTGCCTGATGCCAAACATCTGGAGAGTGGAAAACATCAGGATGCTTGGCATCAAGCAGACAAAACATCTGGGTAGCTGCTTGAGTTTTTTCACTTTTTAACTAGATGTTTGGTGTCATGTAGACACAAGCTGAGGCTCTGACTTCATCTTGTAACAGCCCCTAGGCTGCCAGGCTTGGTTCCACGTTCTCTTTATTGCAATTGACATTTTTACAAGAAATCTTTGCATTCTGTGTGATGCCTGTTGAGCTTATACTCAGAAACAGATTCATTATTCTGGAGGAAGAAGAAAAAAAAGCAACAACAAAAACCTCAGCCCCAAACCACCCCCTAAAGATCACATACTTGAGTGAGCGTTGGAAGGAGCTGGAGAATTTCAGAAT